CCCCCCCCCCTCACACCCAGACAACCCGTCCCCCCCCCAAACCAGAATTTTATTGCAGATTCGGGGTCCTCTCGGCGACATAAGTAGGTTTCGACTTCTTTGAAAAAATATAAAATTCTGAGTGGGGAACCGGGCCACCCGGGTGACAGGCCACGGCCCGGGGGAGGTCCTGGGCGGCCTGGCCGGGCAGGGCACCTGGTCGGGGGCCGGGCCCCCCCAGCGCAGTCACCTGCCGGGGGGGTTCGGACCCCCTTTCGGCTGCTGCTGGCCTCCTGCAGGCCTACCGTGAAATGGTTTCAAGTTTCAACCAGTAGACCCAACATTTGCAGACACAGAGATTCGATCCCTAGACCTGTGCCCAAACCCTGTACATTGACCCTGTGTGCTGAGTGAGATTCGATCCCTAGACTTGCCTACAGAGACCTACGGACTTCTAGAACCTACAGACTGACAGACGGACTTTAGGCCCACAGTAGACTTAGGTAGAGACTTCTAGAACAGACTCTTTTTAGGCCTACTGGTAACAGGCTCAACTCCTAACCTACAGACCTAGGGATCGACTCTCACACAGATCACTGGGCGTCCAGTTAGCAGGTACCAGGGGTAAGGGATGCACGTGGGGAAAGGGGAGGCTCACGCGTTCTGGAGAACTCTCCAGAATACGCGTTTTGGGCCTGCAGCACGCGGTTTGGCCCAGAGGCCCACACGGTTTGGAAGCCTCCGGACCCGGGCCTCACGCGGTTTTGCCCAGGCCACTTAGTTTGGAGGCAGGACCGAGTACCTCCGAAGCAGTATAAATAAATAGGCAGCGTCCAGCCATTCATTCATTCGCCTGTGAGCCATGCGGACGAGCAGCCTTGGTATCTTGTGTGTGAGGTCTGCAGGTTCCCGGAGAGGAAGTGGGCAGTGAGGAAGACAGCGGCCATAGCTGGCCAGTGAGGAAGACACCGGCGGCCATAGCTAGACGGAGGAGGACAACGGCGGCCATAGCCACCCAGCTGTTGGTAGCCAGAGTGCAGACAGTGTGTGTGTCTGTGTAGCGTGGACATTCAGGGTGATCCTCGTACGTGTGTGTATGAGGGAGAAGGAGGCTGGTGGTTGAGACAGTGTCAAACGGCCATAGCTGCAAGCTGTACAGTTGTATTGAACAGAGTTTAAGTGCAAGTTCGTAATTGATTCTGAGTTGACGAGTTTGGTTTTGCCATCAGTTCTCGTGTATGCATGTTGTGAGCAAGTCTGAAGTTGAGTCTGATTGTAACCGGGTCCGACCGGCCCAAAAAACCTCAGCGTCGGGCCCGGTAGGCCTGCTTTGTTTTTTGAATTTATCGTCGGCTCTGTGGCCGTCGATCCTCCACGATCGACGGCCACAGAGCCATGGGATCTTGGTGCCAAAAATCCTTCCCCCCTTCAAACCTTCGATCAGCTGGGGTGGTCTGCCACTCGCCCCCCAACACTATCCCAGTTGCCGACCTCCTCCTGCTGCGCTGTCGCCTATCGCCCGTCGCTCATCGCCATCGCCATCGCCATCAGGTGTGCAGCTGCTGCTGCTCCGACGAAGGCCCTGACTGTCCTGCCTCTGCTGCTACGACGAACGCCCCGACTGTCCTGCTGCTGCTGCTACGACGAAGGCCCTGGTGCTACGACGAAGGCGCCGTTCTTCTTCTTCTTCTTCTCCTCCTCCTCCTCCTCCTCCTCCTCCTCCTCCTCCTCCTCCTCCTCCNCTCCTCCTCCTCCTCCTCCTCCTCCTCCTCCTCCTTCTTCTTCTTCTTCTTCTTCTTCTTCTTCTTCTTCTTCTTCGTGCCCGTCGCCCGTCGCCCGTCGCCCGTTGCCATCACCATCAGGTGTGCAACGAAGGCCCCGACTGTCCTGCCGCTGCTACGACGAAGGCCCTGACTGTCCTGCTGCTGCTGCTACGATGAAGGCGCCGTTCTTCTTCTTCTTCTTCTTCTTCTTCTTCTTCTTCTTCTTCTTCTTCTTCTTCTTCTTCAAGTTCGTCGACATTCGGTAGGTGACATGAGACACGACAGGTTACAAAAAAAAAAACAAAAAAAAAACGACCGTCCTCCTACCCCTACTTCGCTGCTCATCTTCTTCTTCTTCTCCTTCTTCTTTTCTCCTCGTCGTCATCTCGTCTTCCACTTCTTCCCCTCCTCCCCCTCACGTTTTCATCTTTTCCCTCGACCTTTCTTGATCTTCTTCTTCTTCCCCTCCTCACCTCTCTTCTTCTTCTTCTTCTTCTTCTTCTTCTCCCCTCATTAGGTCTTCTTCTCTCCTCGTCTTCTTCTTTCCCTCCTTCCCTACTCCTCCCTGCCTTTCTCCATACCCTACCGCCGCAGCCATACCCTATCGCAGCCAAACTTCTTCCCCATCTTCTTCTTCTTCTTCTAGACCATTCGGCAGGTCACGTGAGATACAACAGGCCGTCCACCTACCCCCCCCACCCCCCTCTCTACTCGGCTCATCTTCTTCTACTTCTTCTTCTTCTCTCCTCCTCCTCCTTCTTCTTCTTCTTCTCTCCTCCTCCTCCTCCAATCGTCTTCTTCATCTTCCCCTTGTCCACCTCGCGCTTTCATCTTCCTCCATAACCTTTCATCTTCTTCTTCGTCTTCCCATTCTCCTCCACTCGTTTTCTTTCTCTTCTTCTTCTTCTTCTTCTTCTTTTTCTTCTTCTTCTTCTTCTTCTTCTTGTCCTTCTGCTTCTGCTTCTTCCAGTTCGTCGACATTCGGTAGGTCACGTGAGACACATTAGGTGGAAAAAACAAACAAAAACGAAGGCCGTCCTCGTCCCCCTCCTTCTTCGGTCATCTTCTTCTTCTCCTTCTTCTTTTCTCCTCGTCTTCATCTTGTCTTCCACTTCTTCCCCTCCTCCCCCTCGCGTTTTCATCTTTCCCCTCGACCTTTCTTCATCTTCTTCTTTTTCCCCACCTCACCTCTCTTCCACTTCTTCTTCTTCTCGTCGGTCTTCGTTATTTTTTGTCACTCTTGTTCTTCTTCAGATGAAAGGGTCGATAATATGCATGCAGCAGACATCAGAGCAGCAGGCAACAAACATGCAGGGCACCCAACCCAGTACACATCAGTTGACATACATTCAGCATACAGTAGGCAACATGCAGGCAGAGCCCCCAACCCCCAGACACCCCCCCAACCCCAGCATCCCCCACCCAGACCAACCCCCCCCCCCCCCCCCCCCCCCCCCCCGCAACCCAAAATTTTATTGCAGATTCGGGATCCTCTCGCCGAGCGCAGAACGACCCCGGTTCCAAAAAAAATAAAATAATCATTCTGGGCGTTTTTCTGGCCCGCCCAGTTTACCCGGGCGGCCCCCCCGGGCAGCGTCCTCACTCAGATAAAATTTCCATTTTCAGTTTTTTAACGAAATGGCTGTTGGTGGTGGCTTACGATTGTGGGGTTGTTCCAACATTTGTTCTCTGTCCCTGTGTGGCCATCGTCCTTTGTTTTTGTTTTTTTGTCATATTCTTTCAGATAATCCTAGAAACAATACTGCGTTACGTCGAAATTAAGAGAAGACAAATTGAGCAAGCCAGGGCATTGGTGGAAGATGAGACAAGTCCCACAGCTAGCAGGAGAACCTCCGTAGATCTGCTTATTCCTGCGTTGAGCATGGGTAAAAGCGATGCTGAAAAGGGTGTGGAAGATGCAATTTGGGAGCAAACTAAAGCGAGTGCTGATCCGAGTGAAAGCGCAACAAACATGAACAGCGACAATAAGCGTGCATCCATTGAGGTGACCAGGGCTCGCAGCAGTAGCAATTTGCAGTGGACGACGAGTGTGAAAGCATCTGCAGAGAGAGGGCAGGATGTGGAAGAGGTGCCAGCTGGCAGATCAAGAGAGTCCTGGGAGAGAGGCGTGCAACCCAAGGATGAAATTCCGCGTGGCAGATTGAGGAGATCAAGAGGATCTATAGATGAGATTGGAGGATTCTATGGTGAAAGGTGGGGCGTGCACCTAGGTCCCCGGGAAGAGGAGATCATCAAAGAGTACCGTGCTGCTCTGACAGACTATGCTTCAGACCTCTTTTTGTCAATTAATAGGTGAGAATCATGGTGCAATGAACCCAGTCTGTAAGATACTCGCCAGATGTCGAAATACAAAGTAACTCAACTCTGATCAATGTCTCCAATAATCATGAATGTGATCTTTGATACAACGTCTCGTTTCCAGTAGACGAAGAGAGTGGAGGGGGAATAGACAGATTAGAGGGTGGAAGAGATAGTAACCATCAATGACCACCAAGAGAGTAGCCCAACATTTCCCACTCCTCCGGTCTTCCCCTCGCCTACATGTCAGCAAAACAGTATCCAGTAACGAGCCTGACAGGTCCTGATCACATCGAAGTGCCACGTGGCACAGTTCTCTCATGAAGACGTTGGAGACAATCAGCAGCGCACAGTATCGACATCATCCTCAGGTAAGTATCTCGATCCCTCTCAATTATCCACAGATCCCGATCTCCCTCCTTGTCGCGTCCAACTCAGCAATGTAGACAATGTGGTAAATGCCATGTCAGCAATTAAGACAGAGTGGCATGGGCCACATCAGCAATGTTGAAGACAGTGTGGCCCTGCGCCACATCAGTACAGGCTGGCGCCAATGCAAAAGGCACCAACGTGCAGCAGCAGTCTCGCGTCATCATCCACTGTGCCAGCGTACAGCCAGCGTCAAGCCAACGTCAAGCCAGTGTCCAGCTAGCGTCAAGGCAGCTTAGCAAGACTGAATGTTGACTCCCTGGAGGCAGGGTCTCATGTAGTGATAGACCGAGTTGACCTGCCGCAGGTCTCCCACTCACGGTGGCTCAGATTGACTCTTACCCGAGGGCCTGGATTTCATACAACTGCAGACTTCCACTTGGTCCGAATGTTGTCTTGGTACCTGCATACAAACAAGTGTGTGTGTCTGACCGGCGGCCTGGGCTGGGTCCATATTGACTGTTGGGCCTCAGGCAGTTGGCTGAAATCAATTGTCGGGCGCTCAGGCCCTATCACCAGGGGGTCTTTTGCCCCTTCGGCCTGAGGCCGGGTTGTGGCCTGGCCAGACCCTTAGTCGTTCAACGAGGCGTATGAGGCGGGTCATTGCATTCCTGCCGGCCCAAATTTCGAGTTCCATCGCAGAAATATATTAATTTCCTCTTAAGCCATGCTCATATGCGGAAACAATGTGAGGGGCAGTAGGTAGGAGTTCTTTCTTACTGAACTATCTAGCTTCAATTGGGGATTTAGACTTGAGCTTTACCTTATACTGCTTTCATGGTCGTCCCCTGCCACCTGTAGAGAAGTAGCCATGTTCCAAAATCTTTTCAACTTCGTAGCCTCCATTCATGGAGGGCGGGAACATAGATGGTCTGTTATGAAACTCAGATCCCTCTACATATGACAAGAGTTTAGACGTGTGAAAGACAGGATAGGTTCTGAGTTGTGGGGGTAAATCAATTCGGTAAGAAGGTCCATCTGCATCCCCGAACACCTTGAGAACTTCCCAGGGTCCGTAATAGACATGCAACAGTTTTTGAGAAGACTCTTTAGACTTTACCCAGACTAGGTCCCCTTCTTGAAACTGAGAAGGCCGGCGATGCTTGTTGGCCTGTTCAATCATCTGTAGCTGGGCTTTTTGTATATTTACTTTAACTTTCTTTATGTCTTCCTCGCATAAAATTGCAAATTATCGAGTATCTGGGGGTAACCTTTGAATCTGGTCCCGGGTTAGAGCATCAATGCGACGTCAAGGTTTCCAACCTTTATGAAATGCATTCAATTTTCTTCTTGTAACAGTATGTGTACTATTACTATATGCACTTGCAATCTCAGGTAAGTTATCATCCCAATCTATCTGATCGGGTCGTACATACCTGCGCAAAAGTTGTTGGCATAGGCGATTCATTTGCTCAGTTTGGCTATTCGTTTCAAGGTGTCTACCTGACGACATGGTTAACCTAGTGCCATAGACTTCCATCAACTTCTGTCATTGAATTCTAGTGAACTGGACATCCCTATTGGAAACGATGGTCTTTGGGAAACCATATTCTGAGACCCATCGCATGACTAGTTCAGTCGAAGCTTCAGCAGGCAAAGGAATGAACATAGCATACTTTGATAATCGATCTACAATGACCATTACCTGACTATTGTGGTTTCTGCTCTTAGTGAGACTCATGAAATCAATGGAGATAGACTCACCTGGCTCACTTGGAATAGGTAGTGGTCTCAATAGTCCCAGGGGATTTTCATGCGAGGGCCTATTCCTTTGGCAAACAAGACAAGTTCGCACATAGGTTAGCACATCCTCTTTCATTCCTTTCCATTCAAAGCGTTCTCTCACATCGGCATACGTTTTCTTGAAACCGAAGTGTCCCTCAGTATCATAGCATTCCCCAATAATTAGACTTTTTATTTGTTGTTTATGAGTAATACGAAGTCTTTCTTCGGTCTTGTCGATAAAGAAGAGTAAACGATCAGTCATTCGATATTCGGGAAAGAGTTCAGGGTTCCTTTGTATGGTTCTAATAATAGGACCCCATATAGGATCGTCTGCATAACCCTTACGAATTTGCTCTTTTAGTTCATTCCCAAGATCGAGATAGGAGACAATAATTCCAAAGAAATCAGCACGCCTGGACAAAACATCCGCAACCACATTGGACTTTCCTTTGATCGTCTTTACTTCAAAGTCAAACGTCGCTATGAAAGCGGACCATCTCACTAACTTGTCAGAAAGTCTAGGTTGTTTTAGTCCACAACAGGGTAGAGTGGTCTGAATAACAGTGAAGTGTCTCCCTAACAAGTAGTGTTTCCAGGTGTCTAGTGCAACAACCAAGGCATACAATTCCCTTTCATAAGTGGAGCTGGCCACTTTCTCAGACAGAAGCCTCCTGGACATAAACTCGATGGGTCTATATCCCTTAACATCGTCCTTGTTGTAGCACAACCCCAATTCCATACTAACTTGCGTCAGTCGTGACAATGAAAGGGAGATAAGGATCAACATTCTTTAAGACAGGGTAGTGAGTTAGTAGATATTTCAACTTCTTAAACGAGGACTCACAATCTTTGTCCCACAACCAAGGTTTTTCTTTCTTTAGGAGTCTAATTATAGGCGCAACTATTAAGGAGAAACTCCTTACAAACTTCCTATAATAACTAGCGAGTCCTAGGAAAGACCTGAGCTAAGTGACAGTCTTAGGCTGGGGCCAATCTCTAATTGTTGTTATCTTCTTCTCTTTGGGCCTTAGTCCTTCCTTGTTCTCTATATGCCCTAAGTGTATCACTTCAGGCTTAGTGAAATCAGGCTTGTTAGGATTCAGTTTGAAGTTGCGTTGTGCAACTTTTGAAGAACCATTCATAAATGTTTCTCGTGATCCTTAAGTGTCTTGTTGTACACGAGGATGTCATCGAGATAGACAACTATGAACTGATCCAGCTATTGACGAAACAGTTCATTCATTGACATTTGAAAGCTGGCAGGAGGATTAGTCAATCCGAAAGGCATAACCACAAACTCGTAGTGACCATACCTGGTTCGGAAGGTTGTCTTGTGTTGATCCTCAGGAGCCACCTCGATCTGGTGGTGGGTTTGAGCTCAGGGCTATATAGAAGAGGTTGAGGGTTCCAATCTGATCAGGTCAGGTGTAGCATATTTGCACAGAGGTAGTTGGGATGCAGGAATGGATATTGTGGTGAGATTGATCATGTGAGTTGATTAGCTTAGGGCCTTGTTTTTGCGGGGTGGCAGGGCTGCAGGTGGGATGATAAGGGGGTCCTGTTAGTGAGGGGATTAGGTAGGAGAGTCCTGAGGTAGGACCTCCCTGGGGGATAAACCAGAATAGGCCCAGTTGGTGATAAAGGTAAGAGGAACGGGCGGTGGCCGATGGGGGCCTAGTACATACCAATAACTGAGACCGGCGCTGCTCTGGAAGAGGACTCTGGGGGGGATGCTGTAGTAAGGGTTGTCTTAGGGATAAATAATGGTGGGATAGCCTGCATACTACGTTGACAAATAGACCAGAGTAGACCTAGTTGATGAGGGAGGTAAGAGGTACGGATGGTAGCCTGGTGGTACTGATGATGGAGACTGGGGATGCTCTGGGCGATGACAACGTGCAATATAGTGGCTGGAGGGTCTAGTTGTTGACCGAGGCAAGGGGGATGGATGGTGGCCGTAGATCCACCAATGACAGAGGCTAGGGTACCTCCAGATGACTTACAATGAACAACGATCAGAACAAATAGCAGTACAACCACAACAATGTACCAGAGAGGAGTCTAGGAGGACGTCTATAGGCAGAGGGGTGGATGGTGGACGTACATCTACTGATAACAGGCTAGAACCTCTAGGTTGCAATTACAATAACAGCGGTACACATAATGAACAATACAACAAAGACACAAGCAGAGTAATGAATAAAAAAATTCACCACAATGAAGTCTGTGGGCGTACAGGATTCAGAGATCTGCTTCTCCAGGGCTTAGAGGTTCTGTCTACCAAGCAGGGAGGCGGTATATAGGCAGAGATCGTATACATACAATCAAAGTTCCACCTGGTATAGTCTATAAAATGTGAGGGTTCCATGCCGAAGCAATCATGTATCAAGGGTTTAGGGTTTAAGGTCTACTGATTAGTTTCCAAAGGAAGGAGGATGAATGAAGAGAATGGATGTGGCCACCTTCGACATCGACCAACAAACAGTGAATAAAGGGGGAAGTAGCTAGTGTCTCATTGAATATTACTGCCGGTCTCCTATCAGATCGACAAGGCGATCCCCCCACATGTTTCAACCTGTCCCTGTTTTCCTGTACAAATGTCTACAGGGACGCTGGGCCCGTTTTCCAGCAGGTGCAGCTCCCCACCAATAGATGGAGCCTCCCCCGAGGAAGCTTGAGGTGTCTGCTCCTACCAGCACCTCAAGCTGATCCCGGGGTTGTTTTCTCAAAAAAAAAGGCCTTGGGGGACAGGAATGGGTCCACCTATGGGACTCGTAGAAGAACGTTTACGCCTAGTGCTCGAAGGTCCCGTACGACAGGGCTCATCCAGCTATGCTTCAATCAGGTCTGATCTGGGTCGGTCCTTCTTAGCCCTGGTGCCTACAACCGCTGTCCGGTCAGGTCACCCCCGTCGAGATGATAGGAGGGTGATAATCCTGAGTGACAAACACTGAGGTAGGATTGTGGAAGTAGTGATGCACCAGAGAGAAATAATGAGAGTGGAAGGTTGGGAGGGAGTCTCAAAAGGAACACCGATGGTGACTGCCATATGTCTAGCATCCAACCTCTACAACAACCTGGACATAAAAAAAGAGGACCTGTTTTAAACGACTGCTTTCTCCAAGCCTCTTTTTGCTGAGGCAGATTACCCCTATGAGCCAAAGAAAAAAAGAACCGCCAGGGCGGTGTTTTTTTCGTCCTTCCTTTTTGGGTAGCGCCGCCAGCCGTCTTGGTTCGGTAACACTGTTTGTCCAAACTCCTGGGAATGTCACATTTTCGATTCTCGACTTCGCCTGGGAAAAGTAGTGGCGGTTTAATAATAAGTAAATAAAAAAGCATCACTGAGAACAGCTTCAACAGATAAAATATAAGATGGAAGTGTGCTGAAAGCCCAACGGGGTTGTACCCGCAATAAACTCAGTTCATGGCCACCCCGTCACGGGCAAGGGTCGTCACATTTGGTCAAAGGCCAGAAACAGGGGTCAAAGGTCACGTCCCAAGTCTGAGAAATGTCTAGGAAAGGGACTAAGTTCAAGGGGTATCAGGGCCTGGGTCCGTGACCAGAGCCCCCACGTGAGGTAGTTGACGCTTAGAAAATCGAGAGTCGGCCCACCCACTGGGAAAGCAGGCCCAAAGTCAAAGTCAACCCAGTAGTCAGCCCGGCCGGAGATCAGATGCACATCAATGGTTGTCTGCAGGTGTCTGGAAGATTCCAGTCCCAACTGGGAAAAGGTACCGCTGCTTCAAGGCTGCATCCAGGCCGTCGAGATCGGGCAAATCTGAAGTGTTGACGCCGTCAAAGGGGAAACTGGTCCATGCCAGTCAACACTGGTCAACGCTACAAAAGGATGATCAGACACTGGGGAAGTCATTGGCCTTGCGCTGGCTTGATGCTAGTGCTGTCATGTGAGGCTGCTGGAGTTGGGTGCTGGCGCCAGATGCTGCTGGTGGGCGCCAGCCTAGAGGGAGATTATGTTGGTGCGGCCACAGCCACATAGAGGTAGACTAGGTGATGAGGATTGGTGCAGAGGAGGATGATCAGGGATGTGAGACTGACGGGAGAGGTGGGGAAGCTTACCTGTACTTACCTGGCGACGACATGTGTAACCTGCTGTTGGTCTCCACAAACGGGAGGAAGTGCAGCTCAACCCTCCATACTTTATTGCTGACGTGGAGGGAGGATGGGCACCCTGTAATGATCTGCACAAGTGATTACGCCAGAGGACGTCAGAGGGAAAATGCTGAGGTGGTGATAAGGGAGAAGCCCGAAGTGGAAGTGGGAGAGAGAGAGAGAGAGAGAGAGAGAGAGAGAGAGAGAGAGAGAGAGAGAGAGAGAGAGAGATGTGCTATTGTTTATCGTTGTGACTCTCCTCCTCCTATTCTCTGTCTTTTCTCATCTCTCTCTCTCTCTCCTCTCATGCTCTTCTTTGATGAGACGGCACTCTTGAGTTGTGCATATGATCGAGACATGGACTTGTAATTGATATTGGAGACTCCATGATGCGCGCTGGGTTCAGACTTCTATTGAATTGCTAACTTGCTCCTCAATGAGTTCATTACAGTACAGATCCTCTAGTGTCTTTTTTTTTTTTTTTTTTAACTCATCCTCCACTTAAAAATGAGGCCAAGCGGCCTAGCTCAGTTGGTAGAGCACGTAAGTGGCATTCAGGAGGTCGTGGGTTCGACTCCCATGTCCTTCAATCGGCTCCCCACATCCTCCTGCGGCGGGCTTTGGGCTCACCAGCGAGCGAGACAGCCTGGCCCCCCTGGTTGGTCTTGAAGGTGCCTGTTCCTTCCAGGCCTTGCTGGGGGTTAGCCTGGGTACTACTCCCCTCCCAGAGTAGAGTAGATAGGCTTAGGCCCAAGGGGATAGGTTCAACCATAACTCGTAGTGTAACGTAATGTCAGCTGGTAGATATTAGGGCTTAGTGTAGCTGTTCCCTGCAGTCTTCCCTTACTATTGAGTGTGAAGTGGTACTCCGTCCTGGTCAGGTTACCGTGCCCCTTGCAGGTCCAGTTGGTGGATAAGACCGCTTCGAGGAGAAGGTAGTCTGCCTTTTCTATTTTTGGTATTAAAATAAAAAAGAAAAAAAAAGTACGTTTTTAATAAACCCAGTTCAGACCGGCACAAGGGTCGTCACTTTTGGTCAAAGGCCAGAAACAGGGGTCAGAAGTTACGTCCCAGCCTGAGAAGTGTCCAAGAAAATGCCTAGGGTCAAGGGGTACCAAGATCTGAGTCAAAAGCTGTGTCCTGTACCCCAACGTGAGACAGTTGGCTCTTGGAAAATCAAGAGTGAACCCAAGCACGGGATTCCAGGCCCAAAGTCAAATTCAACCTGTTGGTCAGCCACGACCGTCGATCAGATGCACATCAGTGGTTGTCTGCAGGTATCCAGAAGATTCCAGTCGAAGTGGGACACGAGGGAAAGCTGGTACTGTGCTGCATCCAGGCCATTGGTTTTCGGATAATCTGGGCCGTCGACCCAAGAAGACTTGAGGCTGTTCAACGTGAGTCAACACTACATAGAGTTGACCCAGCCACTGTGGAGATCATTCTGCCGTGCACTGGCTTGATACGAGTACAATATCACAAGGCTGCTGGAGTTTATGCTGGTGCCACTGCTGGTGGGTGGGTGTCAGCATGGGGAAGATTATGTTGGAGCGGTCCGTGCCGCCGTAGCTATAGACATTGGTGTTGAGGTTGGGCGAGGCGGAGGAGGATCGAGACTGTGAGACTGGAGAGTGTTTGAGGGAAAGCTTACCTGGACTTACCTGGCGACGCCGTGTGTGATCTGCTGCTTGTCTCCACGAAGGTGAGGACCCGAAGACCACCGTCGGATTGTTCCGAATATGGCATCTAGGCATCCAGGCGCAGAAGGGATTGCTGTGGATATTGTTTAAAACACTCACGCAGTCATATTATCTAATTCTTTTCTTTCTCTCATTTTAAGTATATCATTGTGTTGTGCTCTTTGTGCGTGTTCTGGCCTTTTCCCATGTTCTCCTGTGTACCCAATTGCAACACCTTTAAGATTTGCGAAACCGTCAGTGCCTGTTAGTTAGAAGTGCCTGCAACATTATTCCTGGGGCTGCTGTGTTTGGGATGCCTGTGTTGCTCTGGATGTGCCAATTAGTCAGTCCGTCTTTTTTAGAAGTGCTCGCAAAGAAAGAAGAAGAAGAGGAAGAAGTGCCCGCATTAATATTAGGGAGGCTCCAGCATTCCTGGTGCCTTTGTGTCTGTGGATGTGTTATGATCCTGGCCATCTTGCAGTGCAATAACACAAAGAAAGGCAATGTTGTTCAATTCCAACTGAAATGAAAAAAACTTGGAAAGAGAAATAGACAAAGGAAGGAGACAAATAAAGAATGGAAGAAGAAGATGTAGTCCAGCAAACACCAATGTCAAAACTCCCTCCAACTCGCCATCACCTTCAACCTCCTTATCTCCCCCAACCTCTTCAATACAATAAATAATAATAATAACAATGAAAGAAAGAACCAGAACCCGAGTCCCCTCCTTACGGCCAGCAACACATGAGCTCCACCATAGCCAAGACCTACACCTTCTACTTCTTCTTCCTAGTATGTGGCTATGGTGGACTAGTGGGGCCTTGCCCGAATGTTCAAAGGACAATGCAAAGCTGATGTCCCCTGTACTATGACCGCCACCCCTAACTCTGCAGTGAAGTCTTCTTGAAGCAGCGCACCCCACTGGGGCCTTCCAGGTGCAGCACCAACCAAGAAGATGAGGATGCCGTCCACCACAGCCAGGTAAGCCCCCCTGCCACTCTCCTCCTTGCTCACCTTGCTCCTCCTCCTCCTCCTATACCCCGGAGCATTCCTCCTTGGCCCGCTCCACCATAGCCAAGGTGGGCTGCAGTGTCCGCCTTTTGTGAGTTCACACTATTAGGGGGCCTGCTGTGTCTGGATGCCTGTGTGGTCTCTGTACTGGTGGGAGACAAGGCAGTCCACACATGCAGCGCGAAGTAAAGTGGACTACTACTTACACCATAAGTATGGTGCGTTTGTGAGTTTTAACCCCCTTTTTGTGCATATTCAAATTGGTCTGTTTTTCCTTTCTTTCTCTCTTATCAGGCGGAAGGAGTCTGTACGGGCAGCTTCAGCTGATTCTCTTGGACTGAGGAAGTATGCAGCTGGGTCAAAGAAAAGGTCTGGCCTTCTTTTCCTGCTTTGCTACCAACTTTGCTCTTCTTCTTCTTCGTCTTCTTCTTCATCTTCGTCTGCGTCTTCGTCTTTGTCTAATTTTAAGATCAATACCAGGGTTGCACCCCCCGATGGTCGGCGGCCCTTGACTGGTCGGCTGCCGACCCGCCGACTAATGGGCTGGTCGGCACCTACTGGTCGGGGGTCGTCGGCACCCCGCAAAAAAAATAAAAAATAAAAAATATATATATATATCGTCTATATATATCGTCAAATAGAAATTGTCACATATATATATCGTCACAAACAGTATATATATATCGAAACAGTTTGTCACAGCCCCTCGTTTGTTGTCCTCTTCTCCCTCTCTGCCTACGTTTTACCGGGCAGTTCTATTTGACGATATATATATATATCGTCACAAACAGAACTGCCCGGTAAACCGTAGGCAGAGAGAGAAGAGGACAACAAACGAGGGGCTGTGACAAACTGTTTCATCGGAGTTTCACCGACTCATCAGGAGGCTATATATATATATATATTGTCACACTGTGAATCAGAGCGCAGAAGCGAAAAAAAGGAAGAAGAAAAGAAGAGAAAAGAAAAAAGGGGGTAAGGAAAGCTCCACCTGTTCATAACCTCTTACGTACAAGGCCAGCCACGTGGATGACAGGTTGAGCGCTGGCTGCCCCCATCCCCGTGTGTCATAAATATATATGAGTGATAGTCTACTTTGATTTTGGTTAAGGTGGATTATCACTTACAGTGTAATCAGTGAGGGGATTCTACAGACTGTTGAGGGTTCAGCCTCCTGATGAGTCGGTGAAACTCCGACGAAACAGTTTGTCACAACCCCTCGTTTGTTGTCCTCTTCTCGCTCTCTGCCTACGGTTTACCGGGCAGTTCTATTTGACGATATATACTACGACTTCGCTAGCTTCCTGCTATGGTTTTCTCCGGTCAGGTCGAGCGGCAGTGGTCAGGGCCGTCACTACG